TGCAGCCGGTTCGACTGATTCATGCGATGTTGTCGTCGCAAACAAGTCGGCTGATTGATGCGAATCCATTGCTTGCGCCTGACGAAGGATCTAGATGGAAATGTTGTACTGATTTGTATAGTGAGTTGGATGGTTAAAAAAAACTTGTTTAGAAAGGTGAGCCCTTGTGCTTTCTCCTACTGCGGTTTTTATCACACTGTTGAGAGAACCGTGGTTCGAATGCCACTGTGAGCGTAAAACGGGCCGTGAATCTCTTCCATGTTCAGAGAGCCAATACGACCCAACCCCATTCAAACCACCCTACACCTGATCCTGACTGCGCCTTGGTCATATGATACTCACATTCTTCTCTGCGCACGTGCACGCCCAGATTTGAGCTGCTACATAGCCTTCACACTCTGTTCTCTGTTCAGAAAGCGGCTCTGGCAAAGCATTTGGCAATGACACGGGTGAAAGGCCGCGAAAGGACAAGTCGGCAATTCGCACCGCAACTGTGCTGTGGTCGGTATTTGTTCGCCAAGGCTCTTTGCACTATGACGTTCGCGACTGGCATGATTCGAGAAGTAACCACCCAGTTCTTACACAACATAAAAGATGTGTATCATGCATGCGTGCAATAACGACATGACTACCCCGACGATGCCGACGTCGATAGGGGTCAGGCGCCTAGTGCATTAGTCGGCTTGCCGCGGTTCTTTTTCGTGAAGCCATGACCCCTCTGAGTTGAGAGAAAAAAGCAATACGCGATGCATTGCAACCGCAGAAGTTGATGCGCATCTTACATTTGGATAACGTGGATGAGGTTAGGACGCCATGGAGTACCATACCGAAGTCCTAGCAGAATTCTGCCTGGGCATATCATCGACCCGCCAGCTCCAAGCTCTTTCTCTATAGTTTTTGACTCATACGTATGCCCTTGAAAGGTCTTGATAACGATGGAGGTTGTGCAAAGGTGTCGACTATGGTCTGTCGATCAGGCGGCTCTCGCATATATTTCTGGGCTCGTGCTTCCTCGACTCCTACTTAACGGGTGGCATTATACCATCGTACCGTTTGTCAGGGTCGATTTCGATGTTCCCGTATTGAGGATGACGCTATGATGCGAACGCGAGATGATTGAAGCGGCGGAAGAAGCCGGATGACGCACAACCCAATGGATCGCGACGTCGACCACAACCGCGTCACATGTCGGAGTCTATAGCTATCTCGTTACGAACTCCGAAATGCGAATGCGAGCTGTGCCGCGGCTGCAGTCAAGTTCAATTCGGCATCGTCTGGAGCGAACGTGGCATAGTGTGGGATCATCCTTGTGCGCAAAGATTCTCCCGACCCACCACCCACAGCATCGTCCACACGTACCTCACCTTCGCATTCGCATTGTTCCCTCATCCTGCGGCTTGAAACAGCGAGACGGTCCGTTGCGACGATAGCCTGATCGGTTGGTCACACTGTCGAGGCCCAAAGCTTTGGTCTCGGGTCACGGTAGTTCGCTGCAATGCCGCGCCTCGGCCACAAAAAGTCCGTAATCATCACGCCACACTCCTACCACTCGTCGCCCACAACCCCGTACCCTCGAGCCACAGCATCCCCGTTTTATACCTCAAAACCACTCTTCGCTCCTATCTGACCCGATCACGTTCTCTAGGTCCAGACTAGGCTGCCAGCAATGTAAAGCCCGCCATGTCAAGGTAGGACACAACACCAAACTAAGCATTACACGCTTACGAGGACTCGATACTGAAGTAGCTCAGTGTGATGAACTCAAGCCGTGTACCAACTGCGCCCGCCATGGTGTTCCGTGTAGCCTCGTCGTCTGGGATCCCAGCGCATCCCAGTCAGCTCATTCGGCATCTTCCGCATCGTCTGCATCACGACGTACGAATCAGTCACCGCTCGAACGATCTATACCCGTAGGCCCCATAAAACGCCATGAAACATAGTCGTTCTTTTCTCATTGGTGTAACAGGGTTCATCGGCATCGTCTGCCCACGTGGCCTACCCGCGCAACCCGTCGACCGCAGCCGGAGCGAGGGCCGTCTCGACTATCTCGGAAGAGGATTCTTCCGACTCGCAGTCGGACGCATACCCTTTCTTGACTAGATATATACACAGAAATCAACCGAGTCAGTCGTCGCTATGGTTGCGGGACCTGGAGCTCCTGTAAGTCAGTTGGGCCATTGCCAGGATCATCACCAACTGTTTTAGACACCACTGGACAACAGAGGCATTTGATACCCTGTCCCAACGACCTACCATTCGGCATATGTGGAGAGTCGAGGCTCCTAAACAAGCCAACGCACATGACTTCTTCATGCATGAGATTCTGGCCTTTGCGGCGCTACACAAAGCATATCAACAACCTCAAGACCAACGGCAGCCATACTATGCTTGCGGTATCCATCATCAAGATCTCGCCATTCGGGGAGTTCGAGAGAAGCTTCAAAATGTAACCGACGAAGACGCCCCGGCGATTGTAGCTACGTCGACACTGCTCACCTTCAGCGTATTTGCTTCAACGGGTTTCGAGGCCCAGACACCTCTTACTGCACCTGTCAACGACATTGATAGTCTGGTGAATGCCTTCCATCTCATGCAAGGTATGGGACACGTTCTTGCGCTCGCTCAAATGGCAGTGAGGGACTCTTTTCTCGGCCCGATACTGAGAGATCCGTTGGAACCCACTGCATCGCAGCCCGTGCTGCTAGAGCTGAAAAGTCAATTACCAGCACTGGTTGCGTTCATTGAAGGGAGAACGGATCTCTCAGAGGCCGAACGACAACTTTATCTTACTGTCATTCACCTCTTCGAGCCCGCTTTCCAGATATCGCTGCCTGCTCGAGTGGATAACCGGGAGCTACGTTTCCTATTCTTTTGGCCTCTGCAATTAGGACCAGATTTCATGGAAGCTATTCAACAGCGAAGGTCAGGTGCGATCGTAATTCTCTTGTACTATACGACCATGTTCCATGCAGCTGAGACGCGATACTGGTTCATGGAGGGCTGGGGACAGCGGGTATCGAAGGCATGCCATCAGGCCATTGACCAGAGCTGGGCCCCCGCTATTGTATGGCCTCTGTCTTTCCTGGAGCAGGGAGATTCGTGGAGCTTGTTCACCAACGTCCTGAACCAGGGACAGGCTTCTGGGTCAGCATCAGCTTCTCAGCAGCCATCGGCAGAAACAACACCTCAACGGGAGGCACCGACTATCGGATCTGCAACGTCCGGCGCTGAGCCATCGCAATCTTACTCTATCCAGCGACGAGGCTCGAAGTTCGCCGTTCAGATGGGTGCTGCCGAGGACGAACAAGTTCCGGGAGAGGACTAATACCAGGCTTGGCCCCATGGCCAGACCACTCACCACGACCCGGCAGACTCGCAGCTGACACCACACAAACACAGGTGTGGAGCGATCTAATACATATAATCACGATGTTGGCAGATTATGGACCTGCAGTTCTCTAGCGGCAGTATAGCCTCGGGTCGATCCCATCATCCCCATTGAGTGGTACCGCCGGCTAGGTGACCGCCGGCTAGGTACCCGCATTAGCAGCGGCTTCTCGCCGCGTACCACGGCCGGCAGTATAACGAGGTTCACAGCCAATGAATAATAAATTGCGGCGCAGTTGCTGCAATTCTAATCACAACACATATTTGGAGCAACGTCATTGTGAGCTGACGCCTTTGGCGTGAATACGAACAAGAATGTGTTCGTATCTGTCGACCGTTCGGTCGGTGTTTGATGGCTTACCAGTGCATCTTTCATTCAAGACGCTTGCACGCCAAGAATGCGCCCTTGTCTTTGCCCACTATGACCAATTTACGCCCGCCTTCAATCTTATTACCCACACTACAAAACATGTTCAAACGTACTTTCTCGAGTGCCCCACGTAAGCGCGTTCTGAAAGTCATCGCGTGGCTTCGCCCCACAAAACGACCGCTATCGCAACATCCTAATCCCACGATCGGTATGATATTTGCGACTTGCCACGTCAATCATGCTCAACAACATACCAGGCTGACTTGCCTTCCATCCTGCCCAATATGCGACCCATGTCTTGTGTGACGGCCCCCAAAATGCTTTTCTTCACACCAGGCTGTGCCGCTTTCTCACATAAGTCGCATGCAGGCCTACTGCATGGTCCTTTAGCCAGCCGCTGAGGTGCTTTGGAACAAAGAGCGGTGGCGTAAGTCTACTATTGCGCACCTTCCGTATTGAGAAGATGGAATGACGGAAAGTGCTGAGCCTCAGTGTTGGGGAGGAGTAACTTTCAATTGTCTGTTTAAAGTTGGTGACTAGAGAAGGACGCGGAGGTGGAAATTTGATCAATAATTCCTTCGCATCCGCAGCGCTAGACTGTGCCGCTCGGATGCTAGCCACCACGCACGCACGCAAGTCGAGTTGTATACGCATGCAGTGACGGTCAATCACGCCGAGTGACGCGGCAATACGGTATTGCCGCTGCATGCTGATCGGTGGGGACGAACGGGTTGCGCTGGCGGAAATACGCATATTGGGGATCATTAGAAGCGATCATCGCTTCTAGATGTCGGAAGCTAGGGGATCCGCGCTTGAGAGACAGCCACTGTTGTGGGGAGCATACAACGCGAGTAGTTGCATTGCAGACGCCGTACTGCTTCAGCGATAATGTACTGCGCGAGAACCGATGAGGCATGATGCGAACTATACGAGAACGCAGGCTGTTGTGAGATGTCGGAAGTGTTTTAAAAGCTGGCAGTGCTATGGACATAGTGCGATGCGTCAAGATAGCGATGCAGTGTACTATTACATTAAAGTCGTAAAGAGTGTACTAGTGGGTATCTTGATCGTCTCCTCGTGAACATCCCGAAAGAAAGGTCGAACACTATCTACGTGTTGCAGTAACACCAAAAGACTGGCCAAAAGGCAAACGCTGCGACGCAAAACATATCAAAAGTCTAAAGGAAGAAAAGATCCGAAAGTGTAGAGTCATGGAAATGTTCGAAGTCAAAAGTTCCGTCGTTCATGATGGAGACATGGGCCGACTTTGGCCGTCTACACTTCTCGCCCAGCGCTCTAGCTCTTCGGGTGTTGGCTGCGAGACTGCTGTACTATCGCTTTGAATGGTTGTGTCGCTCAGTCCCCTGGTGTGTGACGGCCGTCGTTCGATCCCCGCCTCTTCCGCATCGTTGTCCGCTTCGGGTTGTGCGCCTGCCTTTGCTTTGTTAATCTCTTCAGCAGTAGCTGGCGCTCCAGGCTCCACTGCTGATCTTGTGGCTTCGCTATCTGGTCCAGCTTCAGGCGCCTTCTTTGCTAGTACTTCATCGATGTTGGTCGAAAGTGAGTTGTCACTTGGACTTCGGCTGTGTGGAGGTTTCTGCATTGGCTTCATGTCTGAGTTCTTACTAGGCATTGAGCTGATCGTATCTCCGCCGGGAAGTTCTGCAAGAGGCACACTATACCTGCCATTGGTGAAGTAGTCGGGCGAATTGCGACCATCTGGCGGAGGGCTGTAAAGCTCAGCGGGGGTGCTCTCCGGAGACATTTCGCTGATAGGTGGATAGGATTTTTGATCAACACTGTAATAGCCTGCTGCAGGGTCTTTTGGTGAATGAGGAGCTTCGGAACCAGTGAGCTCTGAGACGCGACGATACTTGATCTCAGTACCAGCAAACGTTGTGTCGATTTCAGACGGCTTCTCGGTGTTCTCCTCGGGTTCCTTTGAGTTTCTCGTCTGGCGCTTCTTCCTCCATAGAAGGTAAGCACCGATTGCGACAATAATGAAAGCGCCAACGATGCCGACAACGATTCCTGCGATTGCGCCTGCCGATAGCCCACCTCCAGAACCAGACTCTGGCGGTGTCGGTAGGCCAGTGTAAGACCTATCGAATATAGTGACTAGACTCGGATCTGGCATTGGATCGGAGAATGTGGCTGGAGCGACCGTGAAATTCTGGTGTTCGTAGTCGACCACGATGTACGCTTCCTGTAGAAATGTGCGCCCTAACACGAATCTTCCATTTAGTGATCGCTTTATGGGAAGATAACGGGTCGTATTGAAGAAGAGTGGATAGCCGGCTTGCTGGTCCAGCGCCGAGTATGGGAGAGTTATGTCCGTAAAGTCTGTGCTGTCGCCACCAGTATTGGCGCTGATCTTGAAGGATAATGTTGGGTTTAGTCGTAGATTCTGCTGGTGCGATGAGTCGTTGACAGTATACAGCTGAACATCCTCGTCCAAGGTCAGACCGAAAGTAGTGACGAATTGGTCACAGACTTCGTCCGGAAGGATAAGATACGGTAATGTGGAATCGATGGTAGCAGGGAATCCTCCCTTGGTGAAAGAAGCTGTGTTGGCTTCGGCATCTTGGTCTGGCTTCCAAAGAATGGAAATGACGCCAACAGCAAGCGTGTTGTTCTGCCGGCTGGGCATACTGATCGAGACACCTAGATCGGAAAGTCGCGATTTATCGTAACCGCCGAGCACCAAGCTTCCTGTAACTCCGTTGTTGTTATTGCCTGTTTGTATTAGCTTCCAGACATGCTACTTTCACTTCTCGCTGCGGTGGTAACTGATAATACACACCACATGATGCACTTACGATAATAAGCCCCTGCGGTATATCCGAACGACCGACTCGCAATTCTGTGGGCGCTTCCGTACATGTTGTCCATGAAGTTTGGTTTGAGTGCGCCAGGGGGTCCGGTAGATCCAACAGCGAGCCCAAAGGAACCCATGTAGAAGTTTGCAACGGTGTACTTCACGACATACTGCTCCGCCAGGATAAAGCCTTGTGGTGAACTCTCGCCCAGGCCAACATTATCCACTCCCCAAACTGCGGCTGGTTCCTCCGCTTGCAATGTGTCGTTGTACCATTCGGGCACCGGAATAGTGTAGACTCCTGCAGTCTTCCATGTTGAAGATTTTTCGTCATCGAAACCTAGAGACGGACGGCCTTCGTATGACAAGATACCACGATTCGCTGCACACTCTCCAGGAGTTGGATCAGAACACCAGTCGGTTTGTTGCGGTACGAGGGTAGCAGGCGAAGAAGTAGATATGAGTACCCTGAAGTTCTGGCCGTTGCTGTTGTTCTTGGCGTCGTCGCCGACATTGATGAAGAACGTAGACCACTTCCCGTCATTTCCTTCGTACTTCCCACTGGGACTCAGAACGTAAGGTGAAGGCAGCTGAATCGGCTCGGCACGCTTCTTGGAAAACATGGTCGTAACTTGACCACGGCGCATCGCAGCCGAAGTGAAGGGCTGTCGGTTGATAAGAGGAGGCTACAGATAAGAAGAGGCACAAGCCATCGAAAACACCAACACCTTGTCAGCTACCGCAACCACTTAGCGTAGGTCAGCTGGTGGTGCCGGACTGGCAATGAACCGCGACTTGCGTGGGCAATGCACATCAGCGCTCCGTGGACGACAGTCGCAAGGTCCTCATTGCCGTTGCTTGGATCGGTTAAACATCAATTTGTCTGGCCGCTCTAGGCGTCAAGCCCATCTGCTTGTTGTGGATGTATTGCGCCCGTGCCTCAGGCGGGGTAGAGGCACAGCATCGCCAGGGCGCCCTGAGGTTGCATATTACATGTTGATGAGCCGGCATATGACTGGACGTGGCAATACCGGTGAGAGGGCACAGGTTGTGTGGTTGCCACCGGCCTTCCCATTGGGAGAGGACTGGGCGGAGAAGGATCGCGAAGCATTCAATCGAGAGTCTGGATGGCAATCGTTGTTGACCAGGGCCGCAGATAGGCTGCATGCTGAGGTGGCTGGAAAGGCAGACCTCGAGGGAAGCCTTGACGGCCCGCGGACAGGTGGAGCTTCACTGGCTGGCGCGCTCGATCGCCTTACTCAGCGGAAGCCAACGGCCCAATCGCTCGAGCCGCCGCCCCACTTGCCCGCACAGCACGCACATCAGTTCTCACGTGCATGCACCTCTCACACGTTGCAACACACAATCACTCTTGTTGTCACCCTGCGCGACCCACCCTTAAAGAAACACCATCGTACGGATTCGGGAATTAGAGTCGTGTAGCCAGTGCGAGTATGGCGCTCGGCACCAGCGGACCTGTGCAAGGAGCGCCCTTCTGCTCCGAGTTTCGCTCCTCACTTTCGGCCCCCAGAATGCCATCCTCATCGGATCCCGTCTGGCGCCAAAACCTATCGCTAGTGATGATGGGCTGCAGGCCATTATTCTGTACAAGGTAGCGAGCTAACTTTATGCGGCCTCAGAAGTAACCATGTCAGCAACCGCCATGGATGCGATTCTCAACTTGTCTTCAGGCCTCTGGGTTGGATAATATCCCGCGTCACTTGCATCTGTCCGGCCTTTCTCATCATGCGGATTGAATGCGACACCACGTCTTGGAAGTCTACAAGGTCTCACTGCGACCCTGGCTTCTGTGGCGGCCTTTCGCCGTTGAGCTGTGCCGGTCGTATTGCTTGAAGAAGGTCTAGGCAATCTGAGTATACTTCAATGCTGCGACCAAGCCCGGGCGTTCGTCATTCGGCAGGCGGTCAGGTAGATCTATGCCTTCGGCTTGGTTGTTCTGCTTCCGGCCTGATGTTTACATACCCTGGCACACAGGATTACTGGCCAAGCTTGGCTGATGCCAGCCTCGCCAAAGGATTTGTTCCCACCGTCATATGCAGGTCGGCAGCTAGCTTCGTCATCGTCTTATAGCTATCCGTTCCTGCTTGCTTCCTTCCCTCTTTCGAGCCTCCAGCCCATCTTTCGTCGCAAGGTATGTGATGCCCCCATTGGTACACTACATAGTCGCATCTGATCCTCCCCTTACTTCAATCCGCACCTTGCCTAGTGCCGCGCTTGACACTGTATGGTACTTTCTCAGTCAAGATAGCTTTTTGGTCATTTCAAGCATATCACATCACGTGTCTAACCTTTTCGTCCAGCTCCAAGCCGTGTGCCACTCGTTCAGCCGGCGTAGCAGTCTTTCGCTTCAAGATGCGCAATCATTGGCCCCTTCTGCTGGCTTTTACAAGCATAGCTGTCGCGCAAGGTGGTGGATATGGTGATTCCAACAGTACTTCACTGCCTGCATACGACACCCCGCCCACAGACGCCTATCCCACAGACGCCTATCCCACAGACGCCTATCCCACAGAAGCCTATCCCACAGAAGCCTATCCCACAGACGACTATCCCACAGACGACTATCCGACAGAGACCTATCCCGCTTACCCAACAGAGGTAACCACGTCTAGTGGATACGCCGCGCCTCCTCCACCACCATCGCATCCACCACCACCTCCTCCACCTTCATCGCATCCACCACCACCTCCTGGACCACCACCTCCAAAGACCGAAACAGAGACCAAAACAGAGACCAAAACAGAGACCAAAACAGAGACCAAAACAGAGACTGAAACAGAGACTGAAATCAAAACGAAAACGGTCACTGTCACAGAGGTATAGCCATTCTTAAGTTGCCCCTGACTGTTGCTGACTATCAAAGACTGAGCACGAAACTGAGACTGAGCACGAAACTGTTACTTCGTCCGAGTACTGTTCTGTTCCGCAGCCCATTACTGTGACTCATGTCAACAACTCTACCATCACAAAGACTGATTATGATACCGTGACTGGGCCTACGACAACCGTCAACAACACAATCACAGAATATACGACGAAGACCATAATCTCAACGGTAGTGACTCTCGTACCAACTACCGATCTCATTACGACTACGGCAACGACAACCGACATCACTACCCAAACTGACGTTTCTACGACGGTCAGCATCTCAACATCGACCTACATCTCGACTACTACCTACCTTACTACAATCTATGAGACTATCACTGAAACACGTAAGTTGCTCATCCCCCGATGCGACCTGCCAATTTTAATCCTATGAACTTCTGCCTCGTTCTCATGTATCCCATCTTTATTTTTATATCTGCTTAAGCAGTGTACAAAACACATGCTGATTGTTGCATAGTGCCTGGGACTACATCTGTCAGGACCGAGACTGTGGTCTCGACAACAACAGCAACGCTCACTCTTACCGACCTCATCTCTGTGACAACAACCGTTCCTGGACCGACCGTCTCTGTTCCAGGTCCTACTCAGACCACAGTGGAAACCGTCTCGGTTCCCGGACCCATTCAGACTTCGGTTCAGACAGTGTCGGTCCCTGGTCCAATTGAGACTATCATCAGCTTCACGCCAACAACGACAACAGAAGTGATCAGCGTGACCACAACGTCTCTGACGACGAGTGTGTCTACATCCGTGTCAACTTCAACGTCAACAAAATTCATTGTATCAACCCTGACCCTGTCTGGCACTACGAGTGTTACTACTGAGACCGTCTTTTCCGAGATATTCATCACGACTACGTTTACGGAAACTCTTCCACAGACTGTTGTCGTGACATCGGATCGTACGATAGAGACCACCGTTCCGGTCACCATTCCGGTCACCATTCCGGGCCCCACAGAGACAGTTGAGGAGACAGTCACAGAAGTATCTACGCAGCTTAGCACTCTGACTCTACCACCCCAGGTCACCACAACTACGACGACGTTAGAAGGCGGGACTTCAACAATCACAACTCAAATTCCGCCTAGTACTGTGGTTTCAACGATCGTATCGACTCTAACTTTCCCGCAAGCCACGGTGACTTCTGTCAGCATATCGCCACCAGAGACCGTTGTGGAGACCTTTACACAGCCAGGCCAGATTACCACTACTACTTTAACGCTTCCCGGAGTCTCCTCAACGGTCACAACGCAGCTCCCCGCAAGTACGGTACTTTCCACTATCACTCTACCTGGCGAACTTACGACTACTACTGTTCAACTCCCCGGCACTACATCCGTGATAACTTCCCAGCTGCCAGCGAGTACAATTGTATCCACACTCACTTTACCTGGTGAAGTAGTCACTTCTACGATTCAGCTTCCTGCAGAGACCTCGGTTGTTACAAGCCAGCTACCAGCCAGCACTATCCTCTCAACGATAACGCTACCTGCTGTCACTTCTACGATAGTGAGCCAATTACCAGGCAGCGTTACAACAAGTACTGTACTGTCAACTGTCACATTACCAGGATCGACAGTGTTGAGCACGATCTCTCTTCCTGGCTCCACCTCGGTAGCTACCGTGACGTTGCCTGCAACGACGTCCATTTCCACTATTCTCATCACTCAGTCCTTCGTCACCACCCAGATCCAGCCTACTACCATTGTGGAAACATTGACCCCAAGTCCATCTTCCACCACGCCTGCATCAATCTCCTGCTCCAGCGAGTGCCAGATCGACGTCACCGCGACCAGATTAGAGTACCCTGGGGAGATCGTTACCGAGATCGTTCAGGTACCAACAGCCACTCTCACGATATATACGGATGATCAAAATAGGGATGTCAGCTCATCACTCTTCATCAACGCCTTACCTTCTCAAGCGCCGCCAACATTCACATGGGATTACTCGGGCGTGCCACTGACGTATCCTACGACCTACTTAGCCTACGAGACTTTTAGCCATCTGGAGGTCGAGGCGGTGGGTACGGCTTGTGTGATTGATACAGAAACCCTTGTGTTGTCGTCTCCTACACTCTATTCGTCCCTCATTGTACCTCTCGACTCCGTCCCCAATACAGCGTTCGTGGCGCCCACGGTAGTCGACTTCCTCAACAGCCAGCCGACCGTCATTGCCCAGCTTGGCCAGTCAATTGGTCCAGACGCATGTGACCCAGCCGATGGAAGTACAGTGAGCGGCATTTCATCTTCACTTGGAACTAACACCTATGTTTCCTCGGTTGCCGGCCTGAGTACATCGACGGTTCGAAGGCCGACTGCGCAATCTGTCGTTCTGCCATCTTCGGAAGCACCCTCAACAAGTGCAGTACCAACAACCACCGCTGCTCCTCCAAGCTCGCCGCCGCCACCTCCTCCACCAACCTCAAGTAGGCCTCCCCCTCCACCTCCTTCTTCTAGTGCAATCCCAGCCCCTAGCAGCTCGCGACCTCCTCCGCCGCCACCCTCTAGCAGCGCTTCACCGCCACCACCACCGCCAAGCAGTACTCGAGTTCCACCTCCATCGTCGAGCCCGGCTCCACCTCCAAGTAGTGCGGCACCTGCACCGTCTAGCACAGTCCTTCCGTCTTCTAGCGCTGCACCACCACCGACAAGTATCGCGCCTCCATCAAGCAGTCCTGCTGACTCCGCGTCTGAAGGTCCATCGCCGT